AGGAGGTCAGCATGGGTCAGCCTTTGGTTGGCCAGCTAAAATAGTCCATCCAAAATCTAGTAATACTGTTCACAGAGGGTGACCAACTGGCTGAGTCTGAATTTCTGTGCCTCTGTCTAGGCCCTGAGGTCCCTGCACCCCCAAAGACAGCTGCTCAACTCAAGAAAGAGGCAAAGAAACGGGAGAAGCTAGAGAAATTCCAACAGAAGCAGAAGATTCAACAGCAGCAACCACCTCCGGGGGAGGTGAGAGGCCAGAATGGAACTGGAAGACAGGTTGGAGCCCTGGTGGGGTGGCTTATATCTGAGCCTGTATCTTTTCCCTCCCAAGCAGAAGAAACCAAAACCAGAGAAGAGGGAAAAACGGGATCCTGGGGTCATTACCTATGACTTCCCAACCCCACCTGGAGAAAAGAAAGGTATTGGGAGGGTGCTCCTTCCAAGCTTTTACCCCTTGTGCCCTGTTCTTGCTCCCACCACTTTGCTTGGTGAGGATTTGTAGACCACCCTTCTCCGGCCCCCTAGTGCCTGTCCTGTGACATGAACGACAGAGACCCCGGTTCTTCTCTGCTGGCCACCCCCTTCTCAGTTGCTTCCAGTCTTGGCACTGAGCCCTCTCCACCTCTTCCCCAGATGTCAGTGGTACCATGCCCGACTCCTACAGCCCTCAGTATGTGGAGGCTGCCTGGTATCCTTGGTGGGAGCAGCAGGGCTTCTTCAAGCCAGAGTATGGGGTGAGTGGGCACTGCCACCCCTGCCCACAGGGGTAGAGTGGGGAAGGGCAGGGCTGAAGGACACATTGCCTGGGAGGGGGTTGAGGGAGGTGACATAAGGCCTTAGTATGTCCCATCCTTCTCCACCATCAGCGTCCTAATATGTCAGCACCAAATCCCCGAGGTGTCTTCATGATGTGCATCCCACCCCCCAACGTGACAGGCTCCCTGCACCTGGGCCACGCACTCACCAACGCCATCCAGGACTCCCTGACTCGATGGTGAGCTCCTGTCTTCACCTCCCACTCACTCTCTCTGCCCTCTCTGGCTCCTTTCTCCTTCCTACCTGGGCCCTCCAGCCTTTCTCCTTCTGGATTGGCCTCAGCTCTGCCCCCCAGTGGTGCTCACTTCTCTTTAGGTC